ATTTACGTCAAAATCGAACCTTTTTTTATTGAATTTTATATATCCAACCTTTTTTAAGTATTTTCCGTCAAGATCAAATATTTACGTCCAGGCATACACATCAGTTGTTCATAAAAATTATATTTAACAAAATTGCTCGAATATTCAGTAAGTGTGTTGCCGTACCTGCAACAGGAATCTCGACTGCGAACTCGGTGTAGCAGAAAACAGAGAGCAAGGCGGAGACGCCCGAGACGACGTACGACAGCACGACCGCGGGGCCCGCGTGATTTTTCGCCTCCAGTCCGGTGAGCACGAATATTCCGGCGCCGATGACAGCGCCGAGTCCGAACCAAATGAGGTCCCACCAGTTGAGCGTTTTCTTCATCTCGCTATGACTCCGCGCCTTCATCTCCACCAGCTCCGTGCTGTCCGCCGACCGGGTCAGGACCCGATCCACGAACCGGCCGGGCGTCTGCCTCAGCGCATTGACGTAATTGCCCCAGCTCTGGAACGACTCCTCGGGGAGAAAATCGTCCCTTCGATACGTGCAGCCTCTCCGCCGTAGCCCCTCATCGACTTCTCCGCCGCCCGCCACCATCTGTAAAAATTCAAACTCAACATTTTAAGAAAACACCGAATTTATTATCGAAATAAATAAGTAAATCAGATGATCCAGAGAGGCTTGATTCAGTACCCTTAGTTTCTGTTTGGTTGCCGAGAAAGCTGAGGAAAATGATTAGATCCGTAACCGTACGTCTGAATTTGGCTTATATATCCGAAATAATAAGCGATTATTCCAATATCTGCATATTTGTATATTTTCTTCGAGGGAGGGAGAGAGAGAGAGAGAGATTTATAGAGAGAGAGACAGAGTAAGCTTCCGTTTTTCTCCGGTGGCCGGCGGAGAGAGAGACAGAGAGAGACGCGGGAAAATTCGTTCAGCAGAGCAAGCAGTTATATACGCTACACTTCGTTGACCGCTCATTACTCGCGTGTTAAGAATAAGAGCTGTTACATTCTGGCAATGATCGAATCTGAACCGTTGTTTTTTAGAGTGTGATTCATTCCATCAACTGTTTTAGTTGCATACTACAATCGATCTCAACCGCTAGATTCAGTGAATCCAACGCTTCATCGACGGTCACTAATTATTTGAGGCGATCATTGGTCGTTGATTTGGTGAATCTCCATATGAGATTCACTTTATTTATGTGCTCGTGAATAATTGACGTTAATATTTTTTTATATAATTGAAAACAGCTTTGTTTGTTCCACGAATGGAAATTTTTTGTTTTGGAATTATATTACATGGAAATGCGAAGCTAGAATCCTTTTAATATTTAATTTTCTAAATTTGATATTTTTTAGTAAATCGTAAATAGTTTGATACTTTAATTAAATTTCTACCCAATTATGTAATGACATTTCATGCATCAACAGTAATCTCGATATACGGAAAAAAATTTCATTTCAAAATTAAGACGGTACTTATTTAGCAAAGAGAACGAGACAAACGGGCATTGAATGTGGACAAAATTCCGTAGTTTTTAAATGATGTTCTAATCTGACAATTGATATTTTATTCCTAAAAAGTACAGTTGTCGTGACGCGGATAGTGATTAGTGAGAACCCCCACAATTAACGTCGTCTTAATTGGTATTTAGTGTGAAAATGCAATTTAATTAGGTCTTAGCTGGCAGATACATGTTTGAGGAAATATACCACTCGCGGCAATGGCTGGCCTTATACGCTTACCCTTTTGCTCTTTTTCTGTTTTTTTTATATGAGATTTTTGTCAAGAATTATCAAATAGGGTCCCACCAATTAAAAATTAAGGGTAGGAGATCCAACTGGAGAAATTAAAATTGGTAATTATAGATTAAATTAATTTCTTTATGGGTTGTTTTCACACTAATCAAAAACTCAATAGGAGTCCATTATATGAAATAAAATTTTTTCATAAGCACACATATTTGACACACAGATAGATTGTGTTCATATTACTGAAGAAGACTTGAATCTAAACAACAAAAGTTAAGGATACACCAAAATTATATAATTTTAAAATAGGACGGATGTGTGATATTATTTTTTTATACGATTTTTTTATTACAGAGTGAGTTTTGTGAGACCCACTTTATAATGTATTTTAATTATTTGAACGGTCTGACTTTTATAACATCATTCATAGGTTATCTTTGTAAAAAATTAGAGAAATCCAACACCATTAAGATATTCATTTGTAGGTGAAGAAAATGGACGAATACGATTCTACAAATAAACCATAACCCTTAATCCAACAATCATATGTTTCAGATTTGGGTGTTTTTTGGTAAACGTTACTTTTGAGGGAAGACCTAAGTAATAAACGGCTAACATTGTTGAAATACATTACGGAGTGCGTCTCACAAAAACGTGTCAAAAGTTATGTAAAAAGTGGTGTTATGGATCCGTCCCCTTTAAAAAGTTAGGGACACTAAGAGGAAAACCAATTGGAGTATGTTCGCATAAATGAGTAGTTGAACATACCGAGCTAAATTTTTAATTTTTAGACCCTTACATTAGAGATAGCCCAATAAAATGCATGTAATAGATTAACGAATAATTATTATACGCATCAGTTCATAATTTTAAAGGATGTGTATGAGATTCGTATCGAGCTTCTGCATTTCTCCTTTCAGTTGCTCTAAGCATTGGAAGGATTGAGATAAGATTAATTGGGGTTTACGGTTCAAAGTTTAAAGTTAAGATAAGATTAATTGTGCTACGTACTAGCTACTATAGTTGAAATTCTGTAGATTTTTTGAAAAGTCAAATAATTTTTAACCGTACGATACATGATGAATGGCTGAGATGTGAGGATCCCCAGAATCCCCACAATTTGGATCTACATGGAATCCAAATCCTGCATGGTTTTGGACAAAGTTCGGCTACAATGTTGACAGTTCGGTTTCAGAGAGTATTTTTTTCGTTGAAAATTCCTGGTTCCCTCATGGTCCGAATTAGAGGCTCTGACTCGGGCGCCTCTTTCGTAGTGGACATGTGAACTAAGGTGATAAGGGCTTAGTCTAAAAAGTCTCCTACATTGTCCCACCTTTTTTGTGTTTTGTCTCTTGGTTTTGAAGTTGGATAGTGCTTCCATTAATCATTGACTATGATCAATTGACCAAGACTATTTTTTGTTTGTAAATTTTTCGGTAAAACATTATTAAGAAAAATTTAGACGGTTTAGATACTTAATCGCCTACACAATTCAGCATTTGTAAGGTTTTTTTTTAAAAAATAATTGGATGGAGTGGAATTATACTTTGATAATCATTATGTGTCTTATTTTATCTTGATATTTTTTTGAGTGCAGGGCTTTACGTTCTTCAACATTGTATATGATTATGAGTTGAAATTAGCATGATATTGTATTTTATATAAATAATATGATAATTTACACTAAAACTCTTTCCATTCGCAAAAAAAATGAAGAGTGTGAACCTGAAAACGCAATGAGTTAAACAACCTATTCATTAGGACACTTCCCGAACCAAACAAGTCAAGAGTTTATTCTTGATCATCTTCAATGGTGTAGGAAAACAAAACGGAAAAAATTGTACTATAATGTAGTAAGTTGCCTACTCAATCAGTCTCATGAACAAAGTGAGTCACTCTAATGAAATAGACAAACCGCATAAGCAAAATTTTATTTTATTGCTTTATTTCATCTTTAATATTTACTTTTTATTTTTTAATTTTGTCTTCCTCTTCTGCATAAAATGTTTTATTAAAAATAGAGTCGTGGGACGCGATTGCCCTTAGTGTTGAAAGTGGCAATATTGCTTACTTTGTTGGTGGGGACAAAATTTGCATACCCACTTGATTCATGGATTTTAAATGTGTCCGAAATATGAAACAGAACATTACATGTTATCATATAATTAGAGGAATGTTTTATTTTCAAGTGTTTTTCCAATTGTAAAAATAATACATGATGTTTTACTCTGTATTCTAATACACTAAAAAATCTCAATTGACTAGCCACCCAACCTTTGGCATTGACTTTGAAGCCGAATGGTCAAAGAGCCCAAGGGAAAGGGATCATCTCCGGATCCCTTCCTCTTAATCCATCGAGTCCGGAAATCCGGACTGTTGAAATTTGATCCAACAGCTACAAACAGGAGTTCATTTTAAAAGTTATAATAACTTTAACTATTAAATCAAATTTTAATGATCCAGATTACCGGACTTGGTGAGCTAGCACTCCAAGCCGAAGTGGTCCCTGCTCTGTGATTCTGTCATTGAATAGACTTCCAACACGGCAGATTTTCTCTCATGCGGCATTATCCGGATAGCAACGATAGTGACGCAGACGACAATGGTCATATAAACGTCATGCTAAGTTGGTGACAACGTTGATGTTCGGTAGAGATTAGGCCATTTCTAATAAAGATAGCTAAAGGTCTAGAAAGTAAAAAAAGACCTCATTTGCACAAAAACTCACTCCAACTCGTTGTTGGGGCTATTATTTGGCGAAGGCATGAGATTGGCCAAATGTAATCCTCTTCTTAGCTTTATTTATTTATTTTTATTTTTTTTGACCAGCTCATCAGTTACAATAATTGATTTAAATTCAACGACTTAATTTGAAAACATTAAAAGGTAGTTTAATTAAATTACTTAATAAATTTAAAGTATAAACTTAAAACTAATAAATTATTGAGAAGACTTTGATTAGCCGCTTCGGTTAAAGATGGTATAAGAATGATCTGTCACTATTCATTTAAAACAAATATTTTGCAAGACTAATTCTGGACGACATTACATTTAATCATTTCGATTGGAGATGACCTTATATTAATATCTAATAGATATTGTCATTTGATCCTTAGGCTCAGTTTTTAGGATCCGATCTGTCTTCCGCGTCGCTCAACCAAGTCATGCAAATGCAAGGTACTATGTATTGCTTAATTTGCTGCAGGATGTTTTAGGAGAAAGCAAATAAACACCAAGTCAAACCAACATATCTAAGCTGCAAGATGACAACAATAGCAAAAACTTATCACCCTACGCGGGGTCGGCTGTATGAATCCGAAAAAAAGTCTAAATTTCAAAATTTTACAAAAACAAATTAAGGGAACTAGTAAAATGCTGCTCTAGCCATAGGGACGGTGAAATGAACTGAATGTAACGTTTTAAACTACAAAAGTTAAAAAAAAAAATTATGAACAACTAGTGTTGGAAAATGCGGTAATTTACCATTCCAGGACGGACGCAGTCTTCCACTGAAACTATGTGAATAGAGTTACAACGTCTCTACGGTATCCTCTCACCATCAGAAGTCTCGGCACGTTCTCCACCAGCAAATCCATGTACTCCATGTAGAAATATGCAGGATGGTTGGCCGGCGGTGGAGGTAAGCTCACAAGCACAACCGCATGCCATTCTCGAGTATCTGAGTATTGTCGAGTTCAGCTTCAGAGTAGTGTAAAGAAACTTCTCCACCTGCTGTTCATCCACAAAAACTTGCTTCCCGTCAGCCATCAGCGGGGTCCCTTGTTTCTCAGCTATTGCCTTCATGTTAGCCATGTAATCAGCTATCCGCCGCCGAGCACCAGTGAACGCCTCCACAGATTCATCTTGAGGAGACCCACCATCTGCTTGCACATCCCACGATCTCATTGTTACAACAATCACTTCAGCATGCATCCGAAGATCATATAGAAACTTTTTCACATCAAACTTGAGCCCCTCCGCATCAGTATCCTCCTCTGCGATGCAGAAAACCTGGATTTTGCAACTCTCAAAGCTTTCCTTCGTGAGGAGGAGCTGGGACAGAAGCAGCATGAGACCTCCATCTCTCACAATCCAGTATAAGTCAATGGTACCATACTGCCTCTGATACTCATTAGGCCATTCATCAAGTCCCTTGACGATGACAACGGCCTTGTTCGCAACAATGCAATCGTTAATTATTTCAACGAAAGTGGCTGGAATTTCCGTTAAGTTTTCACGACGCCATATCTCAGGATACCGCATCACTACAATGTTTGGCTTGAGGTTTCCAAGACCCATTGTCTGGACGATGCCCCGAAAGCCTTCAGACATACTGGGGGCCACGACAATCTCAGCTACACCTTCACAATTCTTGTAGTCAAGGTAGGTCGCAAGCTGTTTGCATGCAGTCTTAGCATCTTCAGCACATTCACGGTAATCACCGTCTAGAATAGAGAAAAAAATGGACATTCCCCTGCCCTTCTTCTTCATACAGTTGGCAAAGTCAGCAAGTTTGGGATGGCAGGGCACATTTTCTGGCAGCTTCCCCCATGGCCGGCAGAATATCAAGGGGATGGGATACCAATTCTTTGGGTGTACCTGGTTTGCTGCATGGATAGTGAAAAGATGAATGAGAAAAGGTTAAAATATACTAGCACGCAAGCACAAACCATGGCATTAGCATGCACTTCGTTCAAACCATCAGCATGCCCCCGGCAACCACACAACACAAACATGGCTCCCACATTAAAATTTTGTCCTAGAGATGCAAGTACACGTACCTCCTAGAGATCGAAGACTGCGGAGTGCTAGTTGGAAATATGCACTCTTGAAACCATCACCCCAGTCCCCAGCCTTGCCTTTGATGCTCACATAATAATATATAAGGCTTGCCAGGGCTAGAGACACAATAGTGAATGACCAAGAGATCAAGAACATGATCACTGTATACAAAAAGAAAAAAGAAGACACGGAAGTTAATATAAACTTCAAAAGAAATCGAATTTGACCTACTTACATCACACATAGCATGTGGCTACAATAACAGAGTACGACAGTAACAGAATCACGTCACTGACAGATATTCTTTTCAAGCACAAACTAGTGCCTAATTTTCAAGAGCTGACAGTTGATTTCCCCTACCTATGCTTTTACTGCCTTTCTTAGCACGTCTATACAGAGAGCATAATGTTAAAATCAAAGTACAAAACTAATACAATAGGTATACCTATACAAAGTGTGGCTCCAAGAAGAGAGAGGCTCCAGTGGTGAAATTTCCACCGAGGACGCCAACTGGGAGCATCTAGAAGATCCAGAAGGAAGCAAGATAAGTTCACACCCGCATAACACAGAAGGAAAAACATAGTTATAGTTGGCGTGATAAGATCCAGGTTCCCAATAACGACACACCCGATACAGAGGAGCGCCGTAAACAAGGTAGCAATGTGAGGCTCATTTCCGTCTGAAACCCGAAAGTAGTTAAGAACAGGTAAAATGTCATCATTGGCTATTGCTGCTAGGAGACGGGGGGCACCAGTCAGGCTTTGAAGAGCGGCACCTAAGGTTGAAAGAATTATTCCAATGTAAATGAATACTGGGAAAGGCCAAGCAATTCTAGCCGAAAGTAGCCTGCAGAGGAACTCCAGTTTCAGCAATGAGATAAACAATGAACAAAGTACATTATTTTGCTACTGCAAAATTCTAGCTGACACATACACAGGAAAACAATTAACTGGACAGATCCTCCCAACTTTTAGAACTCAATTTGACACCATAAAGATAATATATTAAATAAGTGGCCATGGAAGAAACTCCAAACCAACAGATTTAGCTGTTCTAAACCACGAAGAGTTCAGAACAAACGAAAAACAAAAGGAACTCCCAGACCACAGACTAGTTATATATTATGAACTCACACAAATCTTCTCACTTCTGACATTAGGTGTCAAGAACTTCAGCACAAAGGGAGACGTTTTTATATGTTTCTAAGAAAGAAGAGCCATTGACGAAAGAGGGGGAACTATAACAGTTTAGAAAAAGATTTCAGTCTCTCCTTTCTTATGTTGAAGAACTCCGTCTTCCCTTCAAATTTTCAACTTCTTATTTCCATAGTTGATGAGAAAAAAATGGAAATGAAAAAAAACAGATGATTTCTCGAGCTCATTGACACACTATAATAAGAACAGAAAGGGAAGAAAAAAAAACCAATTATACAACATGCAACTTTTGAATAAATAGTTAAAATGATTAAAAAAAATACAAAAAAAAAAGACAGAAATTTATGTATGCCCCAAGAAAGGACTATAAGAACATTTGTATACCTGTCAGTCAGAAGCTTCTCCCTGGTTGCAAGAGCTCCAAATAGTAACACAGAGACCAGATACATTGCAGTAGTTGAAAGAGTTGCAGCCAGTGTTCCAATAGGAATTGAACGCTGAGTATCTTTCAGTGAGGCTGACCGATTTGAACCTGCCATAATTCCTGTCACAGCAGGGAAAAAGAGGCCGACCATTGCACTGGAAACAAAGATTAATAGCAGTTAGAAAAGCAAAATTTTTTATCTCCGCCCTAGATTCATAACAAAGCATATAAATTGCTATACAAATATACAGCCAGCATGCAAAACAGCCTTCACTAGAAAAAAATAAATAAATTAAATTTTTTTTAAAAAAAAAAAAGAAGAAGAAGAAGAATAGTAATAACACGAATAGAGAGTGCGCGAGAGAGAGAGAGAGCAATAATAAGAACCCAGATATCCGCATATTACTAGTTTAAAGAAACAGATTGATGAATTGGTGATTTAAAAGAATGTCCTCCAAAATCATAAAAAAAATACACATATTCAAATATTTATAAGTTTAACTCACACCAGCATCAAAGTAAAACTATCTAAGTTCAAAAATTAATGCCATACTTACTTGAAATTCCAGGATACTTTTCCGTCAGGATCAGGAATTCCATTGTTATTGGTCTTCTTATAATCTGAGCCCCAGTTTTCTTTGAAAGAGTGCGAACTCAAGCCCGTGACCCCATCTGTAACAAATATTGCAAGAAATATTATCCATTTATCCCCACCAAAACCTTAAAAGAATACATTTGACTGGAACAAATATTTTAGAAAGTCAAGTTACTATAATGCAATAGTTGACTTCATCTGATGCGCACCCCCAAGTAAAAGTCAGCTAATCTTTAAGAAACTGATCCAGGCATGCAGCCTTTGACCACTAAAATGAAAAAAAATAATAAAAAAACAGTATCCAGCCTTCAAAGATACTTATTTTAGTATAATGTTCTTGAATGTGGGTAGTGTGGCTTAGATTATTGACTTTATTTTGTACTTTTGGTTGAATTTATCGTATAAGCTTCCTTATATTTTCATTTATTTTTATTCATAAAATTTTTGTTTTAGTAAAATTATTATTGTTGTTAATATTTGTATCATTATTATTGCAAATAATATTATCTCTAGCATTGTAGTAGTAATAACTAATAACAAAAAAAAACAAGAAGCTGATAACAACACAACACTCTAGGTTCACAGCATTATGTTACGTTAAAAATCATACCTATATATTATGACCTCAAAATGGCATACATCATTAATAAAACGAGGCAAAAACATATATCCATACTGATAAGTGCCAGTTCCTGAAAAGAAGTTAAACCTTCACTAACCTACAGGGTGATTCTTCCTCGCCAAAGCAATCCCGATATATATGCAGAACAGTGAGAACAAAACGGGTATGAGGAAGGCAGGTGCAACCCGATTGATCATTTTCACACCACCAAACACAATAAAGCACAAAAGAATAGTCACAACTATCCCATAGATTTGCAGGTCATGAGAACTCGGACTCTGTATTGCAATTGATGTTCCATTAACTCTTGTGGTCTCTGTGTTTGACAACATGAGTAAAGAAAAAGAAATTACATACACTCCATTCAAATATTAGAAACAAGTCTTTGCTTTTTTTAACCTGAAATTTTTTTGGTTTTTAAACCAATTCCCAGCAACAATTTTCAAAGAAAAAAGGTTCTATTCTTGTGAACCGGAACATTGCTAAATTACCTTTAAAAATCCCAGCTGCTGGCACAGCTTTCAAGAAGGTTTCAACAGCTCCCAAGACATAACTAGAACAACAAGAACATGAAAGCCCAAGTTCATTACTCAACAACCATCCAGCATCAAGCACAAAGCAATCAAAAGAATAGAGCACTTTATTCAAGACTAAATCCATCTGCCTCCGGACATCAACCATCATGTCATTATATCATCACAATTAAGTTAACAGTGAAAACTCACAGAGATCCAGCAACAGCATTTCCTAGAAAGAAACATAACCCAATGCTAACTCCAACTTCTGGACCAAGAGCACGACCAATTAGATAGTAAGGTCCACCACCCTAGTAAAATGAATACAAAGCAGAACTCAGTATCCTTCTTTCACAACCCTATTCGGTCAAGAATAAATTAACTCCTAAAATACAGTGTCAGAGTACTCAAAAGGAAAGAACCATAACTCGACGTGCAGTACCTGATAATAATTGGAATATTACACAGTTCATTAATATAAAGCACAAGGTTAATGATTCTTTGAAAGTAGGAATAACTGTTAAGATTAAATCTCAATTGTAGATGCACCACCGTGTAGCAATCTAAAATGGTATCACAATCCAGTTTCAACTGTTAAGAGTCGCTAAAGTATTGCTCTGCTATTTTATGATAGGGTGTCGATATTCTTATAAATTTCACCATCTAATATTTTTCTAGTCTTATCATATATATATTGTGTACCTTCATAGCACCATTGGTTGCAATTGCGCTCAATGATATTGCAGTCAGGAAAGTACACAAGCCACAGAAGGAAACCAAGAATAGTGACTCAGCTATGCCAGCCATACCAACAATCCTGCCATTTTAACATATTCAGAGATAATATCAGTAGCTTTTTTTTATTAATAAATAAATTTAAAAAACTTATATCAGTAAAAACATGACTGGTTTATAACGAAACAGAAACATGATGAATTCAATCATTTAAAAGCAGTGACAAAAATAATCATTTAAAAGCAGTAAAATATTATACAAAAATATAAGCAATAATGATCAGATTCGTCTGGCATGCAATTTCCCAGTTCTACTAAGCCTAATAAAGAGCTTTAGAAAGAGAAAGAAGCATGCCGGACAAACAGTCAAATTTACAGCCTTTGCAGAACAAACTAGTGAGAAAACAAGACAATCCCACTTCCATAAAAAGCAGGTGCTGTGGTGGCTGCGCCAATAGGTCTTGTAGTTGTATTTGACATAGATAAAAACAAGCTTCGAAATGAAAACATAAAGGTTTTCTTAATTTCAGAATCTAAACAAGTTCCACTAGAACAGCACTAGGGGGACACAAAACAATGTGGTATTAAAAGGAAAACATAAATTCACCAGAATTTTGATAGCACATCGAATAATGCACAAGAAAATCTACATTGCACACTCCATATACAATATCAACATCTAACAGAAAATCCTACCATAAATATAAAATTGTTCATGCATCCTATAGACAATTTGAAAAATAGAATAAAATAGTTGAATACCAAAGAATGATAAACCTCAAGCAAATCAAGAATTACCAAGAAAATCGGATATAGTAGATAATTCCCAAAATGTTCTGAAGGCACGGCACAAATACACCCATCAATGTTCCCAGTTTGAGATCACTTGGCTGCATGGTGAATGCACGTCAAAAGATACAGAAAAACATCAGAAATTCAAAATCAGTTCCAACTTTCAGGAAAGCATAACAATATGAAACTTCAACAATAAAGCAAAGGGGTAATAAGCATATACTACAAGTAACAATACCGTCAAAATTGGTAGTAAAATGTCAGAAAATTGAAGGGAATAAGGGGAAGAAAAAGAAGGATTGATGTTGTTGAGGATGATGATGACGACCTAACACAATAGTTACACTATTTTGCCTTGTAATTGCTTCTATTGAAACCAAGCAAGCAACAAGATAAAGGAGGGAGTTATGCAACAGACAGCAGGATTGTAAATAAATTACCATACCTTTGGTCGCCCCTGAGTGATAGCAATATCTTCACCATCTCTAGGACTTGATGGTGCTGCAGTCTGCTCATCCGTCATACTGTAGGAGCATGAAACAAATAATTACCTACCAATCAGCAACAAAATTTTATACCAAACTATAGTAAATAACTTTCATATCAAGAAAATTCTCCAAAATCAAACATGCGGGGAGAAAATTGCCAAAATATTCTCTCAGTCCTTGCATCTCTTCTCAGGAAGAGATTAGGCAGGAAACATAAACCATATATCAGAAAGAATAACTTTAAAAGTGAAAGTAGTTTGTACGTGTGCCGGTATCCCTCTGAATGCCTAGACATGTATGTATATGGGTCAATAAAATTATGTTCCAAGGGCACCAGACACAGGATACATAAACAATGCAACAATATGACAAATCGTAAAAACTAGGATATAGATATAGCCACAACGAATAAGACAACAAAACAAAATAAATATGCAAGGTGTTTCCTCTTTTTTATCAATGTTTTATTTTCATGTTAGCCCTTAACAATTTAAAACTACCAGCAGACACATGATTTTCCTAACAATCTCAAAATCACTGTTCCTATTCACCATGTACATGCCATATTCAAGGGTCAATTTGAATACAGATTTGGAGTACCAAAAGAATGTCAATCAGATATTACATACCCAAAATATGTTGCAGTATCTGCGTTTTAGGGTGACAGAGCATGATAAAGAAACAATACTAATGAACATAACAAACATACCTCTTCAGACCAAGAATGTTGACAAGAGAATCAAAACCAAATAGTTCCAATTTGGATTCTTTCTGAGGGCCTTTGTCTTGCACTTGAGTAGAAGGCCCTTCATTTATGTTAGAACCCATGTTTTCTTGTGTGCTCACTTTTATTTTCCTGTCCACCAGCAATACGCATGTACAAAGACTATAAGCAAGAATAAATACTATTATATTCTAGTACACATGTTGCTTGATCTTCTTTACATGCAATGAAGAGAAATCCGCCTTTCAACATGTAGGTACAAAAAACCAAACTTACCTGAAAAAGAATATTAGTTTACAAGTATCTTTATAGCTATCAGAAACATTTTGACAAGGGAAACTCGGATTTTTTGTCTCAAGGAATTATTGCAACACCTCATAAATAAGATATCCTTAGATTTTCATGGATTTTGATGCTATGCCAAACCATAGATTGGGATACCCATGAATGATCAAAAGATGTATAAGTGAAGAATGCAAGAATTAGATTACATTCAACTCAAAAATCCCATCCAAAATGATTGCAGTTAAAGGAATATCCTGAAATGCTTGGATATAGATGACCAAAATGTTAGGAATTGGCTCGTCAAAGTAAGTGTCCTATTTTGTTTAGGATTGTATTAGGAAAGAAATAAGTTTCCTTGTACAATTAGATTGGGAATCCTAGAAACATAATTGGAAAAGGAAAGAAAGTGTACTTTCCTATTTCATATAGAATAGGAAAGAAAGTGTACATTCTTACTCCATACAAAATAGAAATAATTTACCTTCCTATTTCCATAAAGAATAGGAAACTTAGTAAAAATAGGTATGTAAACCACACCCTATACTTATAAATAACGTGCAGGCAAGGCTAGTAAAAGAAGAGAACGCCAGAGACAGCCGAGAGGAAAAGAAAGGGATTAATTCTAAGGTTTGCAAAAGTACTGTAACTCTATTATTAATCAAAGAAGTCGTTTCTCTACCTAGAGAAATCACAACTGGACGTCGGCAAAAGTTCTGCCGAACCAATATAAATCTTGTGTGTTTCTAGTTATTCTCTATTTTGCTAAATTTAGTTTGTTGCCAGATACATCAAAGAACAAGATCTAGAGGAGAGTCAGAAATATAAAACACGTAAGAAAAAAATTCAAACTCTATTATAGTCCAAAACGCACCCCAATTCCTCCTCCGTAACCTCAAAATACCTCTTATTTCATTCCAACCAAACAATCCACATAGAAACCAATACCCCACAATGCCAAATGATAATCACATTACGTTGGCCCCAATTGATCTTCACCAGCAAGGAACAACATTTTCTAATCTAAACCTAAACCACCCCCAACAGTTTCATCAGCCTAACTCAAATTTGTGCTATAACAGGATCAGCACTCTCCTACTTGGGCAGAGCTTTATATTAGGATTCAGAATCCAAGTATCTTATGATTTCCCATTTTTTAATTCAATAGCTCAGTCCACTTAACAAACAACATTCTGACAAAGGCACTTGTGGGTTTAACTCATTGTCGATTTCCAACAAGAATTCGTTATACACAAAGCAGCTTGAAGCATCAAATTGCCTTTGTGGGTTTAGCTCATTTTCGAATTCCAACAAGAATTAACAATACACAAAGCTTAAAGCATCAACTTGCACTTCTGGGTTTAACCCATGTTCGGTTTCGGACAAGAATTCACCCTACACAAAGCTTAAATCATCAAGTGAACTTCTGGGTTTAACTCATTTTCGACAATTAACCCATTAAACCAAAAGCATAACGCATCAAAATTCATTCTTAAACCATCATTCAAATCCCTAAGTCTCAGATACAGAAAACACACATACTTGAGGGAAGCCTGGTGAACCGGGAGAGAAGACGACGAAGAAGAGGAGGAGGAAGGATCCATGGGCGACATCTCGAGCACGGCCCGATCGTTGTCGACGACGGGGCGGTACTTGCGACCCCTCTGGCCACGGAACTCGTTTTCCGCACCAGCTTCGACGTCGACATTGTCCATTTCTTATCCCCTGTTTGGATCGATCCGATACAAAGCTACTCCTATAGAAGGTGGATTTAGATCTGTGCGAGAGAGAAGAGATAGAAAGAAAGGATTTTTATATAATATTTGTGGAAAATTAAGAAACGATGATATTATTGGATATTGATTGTTCAAAGAACCGCAGAGAAAAAGAAAGAAAGAGGCGGCTTTGAATTGAAGAAACCTTGAGACGAAATCATATGAGAAAAAGAGGAGAAAAGAAATTGAGAAATGACGACGTCAAATTTTGGAACCACAGTTTTGCTTTTGTTAATAATAAAAAATTAATTTGCTCTTGGTCCTGAGTTCCTCCTCAATTCGTTAGGCAGTCATCCTCCGTTGATCGTACGTTGACGAAGAAAATTAACATTACTTGCGAATTTTAAAATGACGAAAATTAAAATTGCTAGGTTTATATTTTTTAAGATTTATGAATTTTTTTATTTGGTTAATGTAAAAGAATAATATAATTGAATACAAAATATTTTTTTTAAACTCTCCATCGTATAAATTGAAAAATGACACATATTTACTTGGAATTTAAACTTGGGAATTAGGTCCTAAATTTTAAGTTTTTTTACACGCTGAAGTTCTAAATTTATATGTTTATGAATCCAAACAAGAATTGGTGCATGTCAATTTATAAATTATGACTTTCATCCAAATTCTAAGTTTATTTCATACTTATAATCATAACCGTTATAAAGCATTTTGTAAAAATTATCTATACAAAAAATTAATAAAATATGAGATTATTTAGTCATCGAATTGTATAATAATAAATTGACGGATTCAGCAAAAACATTAAAAACCGTCTATCTATTTGTTACAATTGATTTATAAAACAACCTTAACTTTAATTGACTTTTGTAAGGAATGATCTTTACAAAGAAATTTGTAACATATACGATTCTGAAATACGAAGATCTATTAATCAATCATTAGTGTATTAAGCATTGCTCACTATATTTTCTGTTTCTCTCGTCTTATAACAAAATTTGATTGATAGTTATAACGTATAAAATTTGTTGATCCTATGTAGATAGTGTATTGCGCTCCTGGAGATGATCTTTGACTACAACTCAGTGCGTCTTGGTTTTAAATTCTCTCTAGTCTAGCTTAAAATAGTAATTTTGAGTGTAAAAAAATGTTGCATAAAAATTTTCTCTTTAATTCACTGCATCCCAAATTCAAAACTAAAGTCGTCTCTCGTCCCCGCAGCATTGAAGGGTACACACAAAAATTATAAGACAACAAGCTTAAAAACTAAAATCTTACAATTGAATGAGTTCTCACAAATTAACTTTGATGGTGAGTTTTGAAGGTACCATGTAAAGGAGGAAAGATGTGTTAATAAAAATATAAATACTTTCGATACAACATTTCTAATTTGCTACAAAGAAAATATGTTCTTCATCGTGGCCCAATAACTTTGTGACCCGAACTTTGGAAGTTTGACATCCATTTATCCTTCAACGAACGTTAAATCTAGTGAATTTTTCACGTCAATTTCAAATCAAATTCAATCCTCGACAACAAACCAAACCTTCAACGTACATTGAATCCAGTGAATATTAATCAATTCATATCAATATTTGTTTTAAACAAATACATCTAAAAGGTTAAGGATTGTTGCATTTCTCCTGCATGAGTCGGATAATAAAATCCACAACTGCAAATTTCTTCGTTGCTCGCGCATCTGCGCCAGCAGGATGCTTTCACCGGGAGAGCTGCGACGATGATTTGTTCCATCTCGAGGCTCTCCCCACACTTCTTCTAATCCGCGGGAGGTCAAATTTAGGTTGCTGCTCAATTATTTTAGTGTACCTATGACCTCCCGCGATTAACAAGAACACAGACGACTTGCAACAAAAAGCATTGATTGATAAGGGTCATTTGAATTTCTCATGAACTTTGTTGAGAACCAAATTACAAGGTAACTTCGTTTGTCGATCTCCACTACACATAATTACGGCAGAATATTATACAGCAAAAGACTAAACAGGTGTATTAGCACAAAGAGGCAAACGTTGGAACTTACTTTCCAAACCGAAATCGAAGAAACATCCAGGTAAAACACAGAAAAAACTTCAAAACTATTCATCTTTAACAGAGTCTTTCTTATGCTTACCATGCCTCTCCTTTAGCTTCTCGACTTTCTCACTCCCGTTGTGTTGATTGGTGACGGATCCCTCTTGAGCACTGCACATCTGGGACTTTATCTTGAACCCGAATTTCTTTGATACGTTTCCCCACGTGCTAGACCCTTTACGCGACCCAACTTCTCGATCTCTTGTCTCATGTTAGAACACTCCTTCTCAAGCTCGGATACCCGCATCCTCATATTGTCCATCCCAACCTTTAAAACCTGATTCTCCCTCACGGTAGTGGCCCAGCCTCCCTCGTTAGACATAGCAAACCCGCTTCTTAACTGTCTTGATCCGTCAAGATTTTCTGATACCAGAAAGCAGTCGGCAATTGACGACCGAAGCTGAAGCTGCTCGAAGAAGAGAACTTGAACAACTATTCTCAAGGGTAGCCTCTCATTCTGTGCAGCATGAGTGCAAGCTTCCAAGGAAAGCTTCTGGCAGTCCATCAACCGGCAAAGCTGTTCCCTGTCGGACTCTACCAACCATGGGTGTGACTGCAGGTTGTAAACAAGGTTACAGGAGTGTCCAATACTAACTTCAATTTTATAGATTGTAATTCTAGAAACATTGATGTTGAGAGAATCTTTATTTCTAGGTGCATGCGATGTGGTTTCTTTCTATATGGCATGGCATGATGACCGCTTGTCGATTCAATGACCGATCTTATAAAGAAAACATGAACTATAGGTAAAAAATTGATCGATGCGTATAATTACCTTCAAATAAATATCTATGGCACGGTAAAGACCATCATCCAAGGGTCTGGCATATTCTGGAACAGCAGCAGCAAGAGCCTGAAACTTGGGGAGCTTCAAGTTGACATCAGGAGCGACCTCTGCAAGGTATCCATCGATGAGTTTGGCTACCATTGTGATTGGGGTCAGTGAAGGACCTGAAGACCCGATCAATTGTTCATCATCGACCGAACATGGAGACACTCCTCCTGTTTGTTCCATGGCAATGAAGTGGTCTAGAATTCGTTGCACACAGTCAACATTGTACAGAGTCTCCATAGAATAAGAGAAGTTGGGCATCAAAAGATCTTCCAAAGTAGCTTGATCAAGCTGCATGCCAATTCTTTTCTCAAAATTTGATATGCACAAAGGGTTGGCTCGAAGAATCATGGCTGTTCGAAGTAGACCAAACAAGAATTTGGTTGGGACTACACGCTTCTGAAATGGAAGTAACCGATCAACCTCTTCAAGTAAGAGCTTCTGGTCTTCTTCTGATGGTGGGGACCCCAAGGACACTGGTTTAAGATGAGTACTAGAATCATTGCCTTGACGCCGATTCAGCCCAGGAAGGTACTTTTTTGCATAATAAGTGATTGAGGCTGCAATGATCTCCTGTTTGATGCCACGAGATTCCATGACCGAAATCAGCCTCTGGTAGAGAGGCAAGCTTAAGGTTGATGCATCCTCATACCACCAATCTGAACTTGATTTCTTTGGTCTAGCCCCTGTACTTATCCCATTCCACAGGACACTCCCACCAGGACTTTGCATAGGGCCACCATGCTCCTTGACAGGCCACCCAAACAAATTAGGATCAGTAGATGCTTTTGTGGCTAGTGACTCAATGCACCTTTTGGTAATGTTGAGTTCTTCAGCATAAGGGAGAATATCATCACAAGTCTGAAGCGCCTTTAAAGAGTCTTTCCAATTTCGAAGGACTACTTGATTGAGAAAGGCTTCAGTTTGTGTGATTAAGTTGTCCTCCCCGTACTCTTCAGTCATTTCAAGATGCTCAGCAGCACATCGAAGGTAGACAACATTTGAGGCAGTAAGCTCAAATTTCACCCCATAGCAGAACTTGGCTACCAATTCAAATGTTTTTACCCCACCAGGAATATCAGGGACGGTTATGACACAACCTTCTTCTCCTTCAGATGCTTCGGAAATCAATCTTTCCATAACCCCACTTCTTGAGAGCAAAGGAAACTGCACCAAATGGCAATTCAAAGGTGAGAGTAGCATTCAGATGTGAAATCAGGCATGCATTATGCATATGGGGTTGACAACAAATTATGATTAACGACTCAAAAAAGAGTCAGATAACCTGATAAAAGAAGTCAAAAGTCATTCTCCAAAACAGGTACGTAACGAATTGTCCCAAGTTACAAGAACAGTAAATCAAGTGATAGTTATACCAACCACAGGGAGGTAAAAGTAAACAGGGAACCAGGAAGCTAACCTTATGAAGATGGAATGACATCTCTCCAACCTCAACAGCAATGTCACTAGGAAGCCCAGTGGTGCAGAACCTATATCGTTGCAAGACATATATAATGTCAGTCAACAAATACGAAAGTATTGGGAACTAATTTACTCAAGAAGAATTGATTCGGTGTCTGTAGTCATAACATATAATCAGCTAATCAATCATGAAGCACAGACATCGTAATCCAAAAGGGTAATCGCTACATGGCTTTCGTTTCACAACATTCATACAATTTGTTATATATACTCATTACCTAGTAGAAAAAAAAAAAACCTCAGTCCAACATCGTTTCATATTGTTAATCACAAATATGAGGTTCAAAAACAGAAAAAATATTGCTAGCACAATGCAATGTACAAAGAGAATACAATCGCCCACGTACTTCACAGGAACACGCAACAAGTAGATCCTAAATCCCAAAGACAATATCCAGAACACGTATGGTAAAGGAAGAAGAAACGTCTTCTGTCTTCCAAATTAAGTCATTCTTCAAACTACCAAACAACTGTGCTACAGCAAGAATCCATCAATTATTAACAAGCAGCGGACATGTTTGTATCAACCGCCTTTCTTTTAAGCATTCTTCAAACTACGAAATCCCAAACACCAAAGGAAAAATAATAGTTTGAAGGTAACAAATCTCAATACAAATTCAACTTACAGGCAACATATCAAATTTTACTTTCCATACAAATTCAAGTTTGCAAACTGAAAATAAATGATGTAAAAATAAACAAGTTTAATTGTGACACAAATTCAGAACAATTCAGAGCATATATACATATACATACATACATATATATACACACACACATTCGGTCA